AAATAAGTGTTATTACTAAATTAAAACTGCATATTTGTTTCAAGTGACAAGGTTTATATTTTTGCTAATTTGCAATCATTGGATATTGTTGAGGTTGACTATAAAAGTAACAGCAAAAAGCTGATACTGCATGGACAAGATAGTTATGGAAGAGTGGCTTATCTAATCACTAATTCACCAACTCTTTTCTCCAACATGCTATTGCAAAGAAGAAACATGCTGTCAAGTTATCCTTTGAGAGGACAAAGCACAGGGAAAATAGATTCAAGCCTTTTTCAAGAAAAGAAGACAATTCTTTGTCTTGGATAATCTTACTCTGATGATGGTGAATGAAGATAATTCATAATTTATGATGATGAAAGCAGAAAAAAGCAATGATAATTGTGCTTGGGTGATTGTGAAAATACCAAGTTTTTTTTTTTTTTTTTTTTTTTAACTAGAACCAATTAAGCAGGAGTCTATGAAGAATGTTTTTATAAGTGTTGAAGAATTTGAGATTATTGAATATTTGAAACAGCAACATACAAATACAGGAAAGGGAATGAATTTAAGAGAAAAATGGAAAGAATTTCTCTACTACTACACAAAATAAATTAGTCTAAAATTCTAAGTTTATTGGCACACAAAATTGAGAATTATTTTGTACTGCAGACAATATTTGAACTTGCTTTACAGCTTCCATTTTTTATGCAGATAAACATTGTGCCAAAATACACTTTCTAATTTGCTGTAAAGAGTAATTATGTAACTTAGCATTCATTAACATTCACCATATAAAACAAGACAAATTATGTAACTTAGCATTCATTAACATTCATATAAAACCAAATTATGTAACTTAGCATTCATTAACATTCACCATATAAAACAAGACAAATTATGTAACTTAGCATTCATTAACATTCACCATATAAAACAAGACAAATTATGTAACTTAGCATTCATTAACATTCACCATATAAAACAAGACAAATTATGTAACTTAGCATTCATTAACATTCACCATATAAAACAAGACAAAATAAATCCAGTATTTTCCCAAAAAAGGAAAAAAGTCGTCTCATTGATGAACTGATAATTTATTGACTTATCATTATCATTACATTCTAAAATCAGTGAGTTCAACAATATGTCAAAAATAAAGAAAATAGGCAGAATGCTGAAACAATGAAATGTTTGAGGTTTTCACCAATAATAACAATGAAAATAACAATAATGACAGCTGCAAATTTTAGTTGGACATTCAGCTGGGACAAATTCACCAAGCAACAGTAGGTTATTTTTTCCTACACTTTTGGAATAAAAAAAGTTATCAAATGAAAAATTAAAAAAAATATATGAAGAAAATAAAAAAATGGTAAAGACTGAGCAGGCAACATAGAAAGTCGAGACAAATATTTTCTGTTAATGTCTGGAAAAGAAAATAAAATGTCTGACTAGAAATCATCATCAGCATGTGATGAAGAACGAAAATCACAAAGGTTAGTTGGATGAAGCATACTGAAACAAATAAGCAAGAGAAAAAGAAAAAAAAACATTCAAGATTCACTGATATTAATATGGACTGTATAGTAAATTTAGTGGACAACATTATTCAGAATAAACATTAGCTTAATTACCAGGTAAAACTAACAAATTCAATAAAGATTACTTTCATACAAAATTATCTATATTTAAGCAATGTACTTCACGAAGGGAAACAAGTTATAAAAATTCAACACATTGTAACATCACTTGATCAAATACGAATCACAATCATATATTTCATAATGAATTAAGAAAACGAAAAAAATAAGAGCATTCCTTTGTCCAACTAAATTTTAATAAAAATATCATTTTGTCTATAACTTTGAAAAGAATCATTAACATTCTAAACTTTGGACAATTAAACTCATTTTTCATGTTTTTGCTGTTACTACAATATTGTGTACTTCAATATTGTTACCAATTGTGTACTTCAATATTGTTACCAATTGTGTACTTCAATATTGTTACCAATATACCACAATATTGTGTACTTCAATATTGTTACCAATATACCACAATATTGTGTACTTCAATATTGTTACCAATATACCACAATATTATGTACTTCAATATTTTAGTCAATGCATTCTTTAGCTATTGTCAGTTTTTTTATTATCTGATCTGTTTGGAAACCATTTTTGTCATTATTTTCTGAAGAAATAAGGTCTTCTTTTCTGATGGATGATGGCTGGAGAATGCATCTGCTGAAACACTGTAGAATGAAGAACATAAGAAAAGTTCAATTGTCCAAACAAAATTTGAAAAATTAATATTTAAAAGTTCTAAAGCAAATTCCTGCATATAAGATTACTGGGGTAAGTAATAAGGACTGAACTCAGTATATTAGCAATGGTCTGTCAGATGAACTTACTAATCAGTCATTATCAAGCATTCCCACCATACTGAAAACAAACATCTAAATTTATTACTGAAAATTAAAATCTTTTAAGACATGATTGTCAAGAAACCATTTAGGCTTGTAACAAGATTATACATCTCTTTGTTCAGAATATTATTTTGTATAATTTATTAATATAAGTACTTTACTAAATTATGTAAATATTAACAACTATTAATAGTGAAAAGCTTCTTTTTTTTTAAGGGGTTAAATTTTTTATGAGAAAATACTAAGTTCTTTTTAGCTAGAACCAATTAAACAGGCGACTAACAATAATGTTTTATAATAGTTTATAAGTGTTGAGCAGATTATTGGACACTTGAAAGGACTATATTGAGGTTACCACAAATACAGGGAAGGGAAAGAATTTAAGAGAAAAATGGAAAGAGTTTCTCTACTATTACACAAACTACAATCTAAAATTTTAAATATTCAGTTTAGTGCCATACAAAATTGATATTGTACTGAAGTGAACTTAAACTGATGACAAACTGTGAATGAATCTTTGAGACATGGTAAACTTTTGAACATAACTGTGTATATATTCTCATCTTTTTAAGTAAAAATCCAAAGTACAGAATAAAGCAAAGTACTGCCTATATTTCAAATTGTCATTGAATTTGCAGAGAGAAGAGCTATTGTTAATCATATTTGATATTCTTTCACAACCGGTAAGGATCAGATATATTTGAATAAAGAAACTATTCTTACAAGTGGGGTCTTAAGTTGTATATCTAAGTAAATGTTTATATGTCAGCAGTATGCTTCCCACAGACAACCTCTGTAATTTCCACAAGGCATCACTGTCACCAGTCATAGGAAAAAAAACTCATTAATCAGCCAATAAACTACATAGACCAACTTTAGAACAAAGAAAATAAAATGAAACCAATTACCCATGAAAGACATTTCCCCGAAATAATTTATGTCCAAAGCAGAAAAAAAACTTCAAAGAAAATATATATATATATATATATATATATATATATATATATATATATATATATATATATATATATATATATCCCAACCCTATATAACAGTGGATAAGCATGAGAAATTCATTTTAATATCACATCTAAATTATTGACTTTAATATAGCATTAAAAAGTATATTAAAAAAAATATGTCATATTCAGATTTGTTATTGCTTTTGGAATGACATGGAGGCCAGGGTTTCTGAAACTGAGAAATAGCTAAAAAATAAAAAATTAAAATAAAAAGAAATATTTATTATTATATAGAGCAATAAGACTAGACTACTGAAGAATTTCCATTGATGTGTGTCAAACTTTTGTCTAAATGACAAAGAATTAAAAATAATAAATCACAGAAGAAAATGTTTTTCAGTTACACATTAAAATAAATAAAACTACTTTTGTCATATATTAATTTAGTAATTAGATGATTGTGTTTTTTTTAACAAAAACTGTTTTTGATGGTTAATAGTTGGTTACTCATCATACAGTGGTTAAATGAAAATTCAAATCTGAAAATGTTGCAGAAAAGTCCCTGCCTCCATTGCTGCCAACAAGTTTGGAGCTTCCAAACACAGTTCTAGACAGGCATGCACAATTATTGCCAGTTTTCCATAACCCTAATCCATCTCCATCCCATTTACCATTTTAATATTCTTAACTTGAAATCCATTAAGAAAATGACAAAAAAATATTGACAATTGTATATCTGTGAATGTTTGTCTAGTTAAAACTTTACATTTTGCAGTTTATTCTTTAAAGTGAAAAAAAATCATGTCCCATACCCACAAAATGCTAAATGATCTGACACATTTGTAGATTTAATAAAAGCAAAATAGTGCAAAGAAGGAAAATGTGTTCTTATTTTTGAAATGTACACATAATGCCATTTTGTTTCATTTCATTTTCAGTTGTTAACATGAATTGGATGAGTGAACTTTCATTGTTGGAACGTTTATCAAGAACAACAAATTGGTAACTGCAACATAAAGAGCACTTCAGGCTTGCTAGATATAAATCCACACAATTTTTGGAGGTATGCCTAAAATTAAAGGTATACACACATCACCCTCAATCTATTGAACAATTAAAACATGACATTTGTCAAGAAATTGCTGCCATTCCATGTGAAATGACCCATTGAGTTACAGACAACATTCATGAACACCTTTGACAGGGTGTGGGAAGTAACAGCACTTGATTGTTTTAATTTTTAAGATGAAATGAAACAAAATGGCATTATATGTACAATTTAAAAATAAAAGGACATATTTTGTTCTTTACTCTATTTTGCTTTTATTAAACCTACAAATGTGTCAAATCATTTTGCCACACCTTCTATAATAGTTCTGAGTATTTTCATCATTTGTATTTTTGAAAAGAAAAACCAAGAGTGCACTAGCCTTTTATAGTTGAACAGGTGATTGGTCATCCAAAACTTGCTAGATTATTGCTTTGTGAATAGATTCAAAGAGATAGTTAATGGCAGAACAAAACCTTCCCCTTGAGCATGGCACAACCTCTACACTAGTTGGTCCTCCATTGTAGTCACTGGTCAGTTTGATGTCAAATGTTTCAGGTGTAAAAAATGATGCTGGTTATGCCTTCAATTCTTCAGGCCGATGTTGTAGCAACAAATCTATAACAGATTCATCAGCCAAGGTGCTTGTATCACCAAGATTTGAGTCACCAACAGCAATCTTTCTCAAAATTCGCCGCATGATTTTACCTGATCTTGTTTTTGGCAGACCAGGTGCGTATTGGATATGGTCAGGCTGGGCAAATGGACCAATTTTACTTCTCACTGGAGACAAAAGATAAAAAAAAATATGAAGGGGTTTATCATTTGAAGTTTATCTTAAACAAATTACAAAATCAGTGAATGTAATGTGAAAAAAATATCAGTTTTCATGATATTCATACAAAACTTAGCAAAGTTTAACCTTTGTGCCTACCAAAAAACAGTTTCTCTCTTGACACTGCTATTATTTTATACTATATTTACTCTCACAGCAATGCTTATTATTTTAAAAAGTAATGATTAAAATTTTTAATAAAAGCCAAACATTTGAAAGTGAATTTATACATTTTTTTTGTTCTTGAGAACTTATAACAAAAATATTGCTTACTATAGATTGTTTATTTACAAAAATAATTTAACATTTACAACATTCTAAAAATGTAAATCAATTAATACAATGCAATTTTTAAAGAAATAAATATGAAAAATTTATGAATAAAAAAAATAACTTGATTGAATTGATTATCAATTTGCCACTGTTTTGCCAATCATTCATCAGCTCCATCAATGGATTTAGTCAAGATACTTAGTGTCTACAGTTCCTTTAAGATATCTTCATCAGTCAGAACTTGGCTGACAATAAATAATCTATTGGCAGATTTTCTAGTCATTTTTAGAAAAATTACAATAGTTTAAAACAATTTAAAGTAGGAAGTGTGTGTGAGGGGGAGTGGGGTAAGCCATAATTTTTGGAGTTCCAGGCCTCGGATATTTATTGATTAGGTATCCTTGATCCCAGATCATGATTATAAAAATAAATTGGAAAATTAAAACCTGAAGTAATGAGATATAAAATAATTTGAGACGAAAATGATTAATGTCTGGAAAAATCATATATTTATTTAAATTTTCTTGTTTATAGATATTTTTAAAAAATCATATGAATAAAAAAAAACTGTTTTCATAGTTCTTTATAAAATGGTAAATAATAAATATTGATTGTAGTTGATTTACATATTTTGAAAATTTTGTAGATTTTTATAAATTTTCAAATAAAAACATTTCTTTTCAAATTTATTTCTTTATAAAATCATAAATAATAAATCTTTATAAAATGGTAAATAATAAATCCTGCATTGTACTTTGTTCACATATTTTTATAATCTTGAATATAAGCATTGCCAACAAGGTCTTGGTAGCATAAAGAAATAGTAGTGTCAACAGTAAAAGCAGCCTTTTAAAATGTCATGGGAGTCAGGCGGGGGGGGGGGTCATGCTCTTTGAAACATTTTATTGGAATTATTTTTTTAAAGAAAAGATGACTTATAACTTATTGTTTATCTGACAACATTTATGTAGAGACACAATTTTTTCATAAGCAACATTTTCATCAACATTCTGGTTAATTTTTGTACAAGAATTAAAACTCAAATTACTTAAATGGCTGCTTAAATTTGTTATACTTCACTTTAATAAATACAAAAACATTTCAATGGAAGTAAACTAGTAAAATTGGTAGAAACATTGAATACAATATAAAGTAACATATTTAGTATTTTCATTTAATTTCAGTTTTCCTTTCATTTTATAGTCTTTCTTTCGTTTTTGTCAGAAGAACTGATTATGGTTTAGTCAAATTTCAGTACAGATGCTTATCAAAAAAAATTGTGTATGTCAATAAGTTTTGATCATAAAACTTATGATCAAAAGAGCATTATTTTATAAAATATTTATTTTCCAAGATAAACTATGATGCAATACACTTTTATTCAGTAATATGTTAATGAATCTATCATTACTATACTAATTAATATTCATTAACCTTTAGCACTCTGAAGTTGACTTTTTTTATCAAGCATAACATTTTTCCTACCAATGCAGGTGACTAATTAGTAAAAAATAGTGCATTTAAATTTTGTGGCTGTGTTTTCATATCCTTTTATGGCAACAACAGAGTTAGCTCAAAAGAAAAAAAAAATAGCAGTAGAAGAGGAAGTAATACTTGTGAATAGTGCAGAGTACTAATGGTTAACCTATTAGTAGTATATTAATTAATATTCATTAATCTATATTATTTATATAGATTGAACATAATATAGTGAACATTTTATATCAAAATTTACCTAATGTGATCTGTGCTAAATTCTATTATAGTGTTGATTGCAGTAAGCTTTCTGGCAGAACTTTGTCTATTGAAACTGACATAAGTAAGACAGGGATTAACCAAATGGACACTAAATCTTTAATTTAAAATAGTTAAATTTTTAACTGAAGTTTAATAAATACATTTATTTTTTTTATCAAAAAAAACAAAAAAAGAAACAACCAAGGAAAATATTTATGTTGCAAACTGAGTATCCTTATTTAGAAATTAAGCAGGTACAATCTTAATTATTTAATGAAATAAGATAGCAATTTTATTAATCAATTATCATTTGTGTAAAAATTTTCTAAATATCAAGTATTGAAAAATCATGATTTCAAATGATTATAAAAGATATTGAAATAGAAAAAAGCATTCAAAAAGAAAATATTAAAAATCTGCACTATATTTTCTAGGGAAGATATAAAATCTGTTGGCATCTGAAAAGCTCCTCCCAATTGAAATGATGAAAAGAATAAAATTTAGAAATCTTTACCTACCTTTCACTTTTAGCTCAGTTTTAAGCTTTTCAGTCATCACATGACCCTGAAACAATTTTTAATCAATTATTTAGATAACTAAAGAAAGTCAATAAAAAGAAATCTAGGAATATATTTTTTTAAATTAAAAGTGAAATATTTGTTCATAAGATGGTATTTTTTATTGGTTAAAGCAATGTATACTTACAGGCAAAAAAAGTAGAGATTTTAATTAAACATCATAGAATGATTTTATAGTCTAATTTCTAAAAGTGGGGAAAAACAAACAGACTCAGGGAAAAACTCAAATGTGTGGAAGTTTGTTGGGTTAGATTGGTTAAAATAAAGGTAATGAATATCATTGGCTCAAAGCTGTAATTAATAAAATGACAAGGAAGGAGTCTTTTTAAAGAAACACAAAGAAAACAACAAAATAGAGAAGGAATTTTATAACAATGATATTCTTTAACATAATAAATGGATGCCTGAAAACTTTCTACACAATATCATCAAATGTACACACTGTAAATAATAACCTACTGAAAACTAATGTTTACTTACCTCATTCAAAACAATAAAACAATAAGTGCTTTCTCCTTTCACTGAATGAGGATGAGAAACAACTGCAGCTTCAGCCACAGATGGGTGCTGAATCAGGGCAGATTCAATCTCTGCTGTACTAATCAGGTGACCTGATACATTCACCATGTCGTCAATTCGACCAGTAATCCAAATATAACCATCTTCATCACGACGAGCCCCTTAAATATAAAGAATATCTCCATTGTAATAGTTTGCAAATTTCTTAGACAAAGGATTTTCAGTCATTCATTTTTATTAATATTTGTTTCATCTTATTTCAGTTTTCATTGCAACTTGTTCATTATTCTACATTAAAACATACACTTCTGCATTTTTATGTGATAGCCCATTTGGGGGAAAAATAGAAATTTGTCTAGTTGCTGAGAATTTAGACATTGATTGCAATTTCTCATGTGTCCTGGCAGCCATTTTGGTTTTGACTGGATACTTTGCAGTACACACTAAGCTAAATGACACCAGAAATAGACAATATAAAAAAATATGTCACAAAACAGGTTGCATTGTATGGTACAATATGACTACTAGTTTGGAAATAGCACTAAGTGCTAGTTAGTTTTAAAACACAAATGCTAGGGACCAACATTTCATGGTGTCTTGAAAATGTTTATATATGCTGACATCAGGTAATATAAGTTTTGTAAAGCGATAAGTATGTATTGAAAGTGTATATATGCATTGACAGCAGACAATATAAATTTAAAAAAGGCACAAGTACATCCATAGCTGCAAAAGTGTTAGCAGCAGGCTTCGATAATAAAGAATAAGCTTTCTTAAGCAATTACACTGTGAATACTACAGAAAACTGTTAGACAAGCCATATAACTAAGACAGGCTCCTAAAGATATAGAGTCATAAATTTACAACCCAAAACTTTAATCCACTAGGCTACCATCTAATTTTATTCCACTTAAATGTCAAGGTAGGATTATCTTTTTTATTTATTTTAACAAATATTGATGATCAAAATCATTTTTACAAAATACCAAGATTAAAAGGAGTCATACCATCTCCAGTGCAATAATAGCCAGGAAATTTCTTAAAATATGTTGTTTCAAATCTTTCATGATTTTCATAGACAGTTCTCATTATGCCTGGCCATGGCTGTTTGAAAACCTGTAAGTAAAAATTAAAACAAGTTGCTAACATTTTGAGAACTGCTTGCTGGTTGGTTGGGTTATTATATGGACATTTTATTAACTTACTTTAAAAAAGATTTTTCTCTTATAAGTAGAAACATTACCTTCTTCAAGTTTCCAAGAATGTATAAATGTCTTGTACTTATTTATTTTATTTCAATAGTTTATAGAAAAGTGACAGTTTATACACACACGTTTTTAAGTCAAATTTCAAGTGAGCAGTGACAGACTATGACTGCCAGTTTTATGCATTTTAATGCAATCGTCAGGCAGTCAGTAGCTGTAGTTTGTGTAAATAGGCTCTTATACCACCAAATGAGTCCAAGATAGTATGTCAACCAAACTAGCCATTCAACAGTAAAAAAAAACAAACTGATGTTTGCTCAGTTGATCTTTTCAGCACTACCCCATTTTATATATATATATATATATATATATATATATATATATATTATATGCATGCTACATCACAAGTCTCATAACCCTAATGGGTTATGAAACTTGTAATGTGGCATAACTGCAGCCATAGTGAAATATCTAGGGAAAGATAGCCTGACAGAACCCATTCCTCTTCAGGTTTGGTTTTGAATTCAGAGTTTTTCTCCTAGACTGGTTGCTATCTCAAGGCAAGTGTGTCCAGTCTACCCTTCTATTTAACCAATAGCTGGGAGATGATGCATTCATATCTTTTCTAAAGGAATGAAACAAAACCAACTAGAAATTAAACTTTGCATGCCACTTTCTCTCTCTCTCTATATATATATATATATATATATATATATATATATATATATATATATATATATATATACACACACACACACACACACACACACACATTTAGGTAGTATATCTTAATTCAAGCATGTTCAGTTGAATAATCTAGACATATTATGCCTATTTATTTTATTGTAATCCTCTTGAATTCTCTAATCAACTTCTTAATGTTGATATTAAATTCAATAAGGAAGGTGCCATAGTTTTTTTTTTTCATTTTTATTTTCAATCTCATCCAAGATTATCTTCAGGGGTGAATTGCTAAGACAAAAAATTAATGTAACTGATAGTTGTGATTTTTATATAAGCACTAATATATTCCCCATTGATCCCAGTAAAAAAATTTAACTAATTATATACTATACTAAACTTAATACAATCAACTCAATCATCTGCATTAACTCTTCTCCCTCAAGTAGTGTTTTGCAAAAAACCAACATTGTATATCAATTTAAATATTCTTTGAGAGATTGTATCTCTGACAAAAAAGTAAATATATATGTTGACTTAACAACAACATCATTATCAAGACAGCTTATACTAGATATGCCGGATACAAGCTCTATCACACAACATTTAAAGACACATTCCTGTCCATCTTCACAATACAGAAAAATATATTTGTTGATAACATGAGTATACACCATCATGAAAATAAAAAAAAATTCAAATTCTTGAGGTCCTCTATATAAGGATCAAACAACCAACACTAAATAAGGTTAGTTATGAGTATAGCAACAATGTTTTAAAACGTTTATAATAATTTTTTTTTTAAATGTTTAAAATTATAATTATACAAATTAAAGTTACCTCCCTTAGATCAAGGGCATGAAAAAAAAATGTCATAGCTTTTAACAGTTAATTTAAAATTAATTATAACAGAGCGCATTCATGCATGTTTACAAAAAAATCATAACTATCAGTTCCATTAAATTTTTGTTTTAGCAATTCATCCCTGAAGATAATCTCAGATAAGATTGAAAGTACTTGAGAAAATAAAAATAAAAGAAAAAAATTATGATGCCTTCCTTAATGAACATTATCAACATAAAGTTGATCAGAGAATTTGAGAGGATTACAATTAAAATAGACATATGTCCAGATTATTCAACCAAACATACCTGAATATATATATATATATATATATATATATATATATATATATATATATAAGAATGGACTATGTTGTCATGAAAGACTGTCTTGTAAAATAGAAGTGATGAAACAGAAATCAAGAAAAATAAATTTTAATCAAGATGCTTATAAAGAACATGTTTATGCTTCCTTACAAGATAGCCTTCTTCAATGGGGCCAGAAACTTCTTTCCCTTCAGCAGTCAAGATTGCTGGAACAACCCCAAAGAATGGAAATGTCTGTAAGTGAAAGAATTACGTTTAAAGGAAAATAATGAGACCAACAATTTTCAAATAATTATAGTTAACTGGAAAAAAAAAACAAAACAAAACACTATTTCATTTATAAAATACTGAAGAATTCTTCCTAAATAAAGAAATATTTGGGACAGTAATAATTAAATGTCAACCATGGACTGACATATTATTTTGATCTCTAAAAGTAAATTTTAAAATGTATCCAAATCTCTTGAAATAAAGCTTAAATATTGGCATAAAAAATTTGAAAGGATTCATTGAAATTTTGTGGCAATCTATTTATAACTGAGTAAATAATTTTAAATTTAAATTCTTCAAATAATTTTCTATAAGATATTAATTAAAATACATTTTAATTATTTTGATATAAAAACTGATATACTTTATTTTATATACAATACTTTACTTAACTGATAACATTATTCTTTATTTATTTTTGATATCAATACTTTTACTTAACTTAACTGATATAACTTTACTTTATTTAACTGACTTAACAACTTTATTTAACTGATTTACTTAACTGATATACTTTATTTAACTGATATACAATACTTTACTTAACTGATATACTTTATTTAACTGATATACAATACTTTACTTAACTGATAAAAGGGTAAAAATGGCTGATATACTTTGATATACAATAAAGTTTGATATACTTTATTTAACTGATATACAATACTTTTTAAGAATCTTTTATTTTATATACAAGTTTTATTTTACTTTATTTGGAAGACTTTAAAGACAATAAATAATTCACTTTAAATTGTTTAATGATGAAACTTTATTTGTTTTATAAAACTTAACTTTATTTTGAAGGAAATGATATACTTTATTTAACTGATATACAATACCTAACAATATACTTTATTTAACTGACACTTTTAAAATAAGATATTACTTAAAGAAATTACTTAAAAAAGAATTAAAAAGCTAGATTTTATGGAAGACAAAGACAATAAATAATTCAGTAAATTGTTTAATGATGAAATGTTTTCAAAACTTAACATATTAAAACACAGAAATACACATTAAGATATTATTCAGAGACAATTTTAAAACATGATATTCCAATTTCATGTAATCCACATCTTTTGAAAAAAAAACAAAACAAAAACGAAAATCTTATACAAATTAAAAGCAAAGTTAATAAAATATGCAAATATTAAAAAGCTTAAAAATAAATGAATAACCCCAAACAGGTTTCATATTAAGAAAACATTCAGAAAAAATATGAACAGTTAAAAGGGTATAAAGATTTTAGACTTGACTTGCCCACTACACCACATTTTTGTCTAATTCTTTCATTATCAATTTTTAATTAATTTTTCATTGAATTCTTGATGTAAATCTGTGATCTATTTTCATTTCAGGCAACAAAAAACCTGATTATGAAAAGTTATAAAATGAGAAAATAGGAGGTTGTTGCTGAAAATTTGTAGTCCAGTGAGAATTTTTTTTTAATTTTGGATTATTTTTACAAAGTTTAATGAAAACTCTTGTATTAGGCTGAACTTTGCATTGACATGGGGATTTAGATAATTGTCTTTTCCAGAGTGAAGAATAAAAAGAAACATACACTTATAATTTGAAAACCAGAATAAAGCCATTCAACTGGTCATTTATTTTTTATAATATCAGGCTTATTAAGCCAATTTTTCACCTGAACAAATGATGACTAATAATTTGAAATCAAAAGAAAAATTAATTGTAAGCAACAGAAAAAAATAAAAACCTAAAAACTAAAGAGTTTACTTACAGCAGATCCAGGTTTTGTTGGTGTGGCTCCAGGCAACGGTGTTAGGACATGGCCACCCTATAAAGAAAAATAAAAAAGATTTCAATGACAAACATTGTGAAAAAATATTATTCCACTAATCTACCAACAACTACTATCTTGTTAATTTATTGTGACTTAATGAAAAAAAAAAAAAAATGAAAAAAAGTATAAAAAATAAAATGGAGTGAATGTTAATAAAGAAAAGAAAAGTAAAACTCATTTTATGGCTTGACAGTAAATGTGGTTTGGAGTTATTTGGCCAATTAAAGAAAACAGAAATGGTTGAATAGGGGGGTTGGGGGTGGTAGACATTAAATTCCGCTTGGCAAAAAAGCAAAGAGAAGCTCACTGTTTCTGTCTGCCAAAAAGTGTCAACGATGGCACATTTGCTTTTGCCAACAACATTGTAGTACCAGAGCCAAGCTTCAGGGTTAATAGGTTCACCCACACTGCCAAGCACTTTTAAAGAACTGAGATCATACCTGCAAGAAAAAAAGCAACAACAACAAAAATAAGTCAGAGATAAATAAATGGGAAAATTGAAATCAAGAAAATTTTTTTCATATCTTGAAATAATTTGATTTTCTTAGTGTGGTAAGAAGAAATACAATGACAAAAAAAAAAACAAACAAAAAAAAACTGAATTTGCAGGTTAAGTTGCAAGTTTTACACCATTAACCAAATATACAGATAATTTTTAAAGTCATTTGGTCACATTGACTTGCATAGATGAATGTGCCAAATTTCAAATAGGAGTGTTTTACATCAAATGCTGGTCCTATCTTTCAGTTTTTGTATTCTTTTTGTTACGTTATATAAATAAAATGAAAAACCATTATAGTAAAATATACTGAATAGCAAGAACTCATAACCCGTGTTGAAATTGTAATAATGATTTTTTTACTTTGATTATTTTTTATCTGTCTCCCCTTTATTTTAATATATTTTTTTGTCTAGATATATAACATACACACACACACTTTTAAAGCCCTGATAAAATTTTGTACTCCCAACAGATTATTTCAATTTCTAATAAGATAAAAAATAGTTATAGTATTGTGATTCATATTTTTTTACACTAAATGTATTGTTTTATTCTCAGAACCAGGTTGGTAAGGATTCTTAACTGAAAACACACAATCATGTAAAGGAAAGAAACTGATAGTAAACATGAATATAATTTGTTTTCCAAATATTAGTTCTTACAAAATCTGATCACATAATATAGCAGCTCAAAGATTCACTAAAAAATGACTATACATAATGAAAAAATTCCCCAAACATAACAAACTTTTATCATCAAAACCTCACTTATTAAGAGAAAAAAAAAACCCCAAAACAAAGGATTTTTTTTTTTATTGTTAAATTATAATCGTTTTTAGAATTTTTGAAATTTTGGTTAAAAATGTTGTTTTTTTTTGTGTTAACAAGTGACCATAAATTACCATGGGAAATTTGAAGGTTTTTTTGTGGTGAAAAACACATTGATTTGGAAAGTCTTGCAAAAATCAAATAATTATCAGATATTTATGAAATTCATTTTTGTAGCACTTAATGTTTATATTAGTTATAAGGACAAGTCATTAGAGAATTTAATCAATTGTTTTTGTTAAACATGACCCACAGTTATAGAAAATATGATCTGAATTGTAAAATAAATAATCTAATAAAACTAATACATTAGAAAAGTTTTTAATTATTTTTATGAATAAAATATTATATTATAGACACTATTGTCTTAAGAAAAAAAGTTTTTTCCAATCAATAATGAATTTTAAAAAATTTTAATTATAATAATTTATAAAGATCTTTTAAAATTCTGAATTAATTTATAGCAGTTAGGTGATATTGTTATTAAGTAAAAACTATATTTACTAATCATAAATGGAAAAGCTTACTATAAGTCAGTGATCTCCAGTATTTCAAAAAGAATTTTGAATTTTTTGTGTGTATAAATAAATTTTTGTAAATATGGGCATCTATACACAACATAATCAGAAAATGAGAATGATAACTATAGTAAATTTAAAATTTATTGTAATTTTCTAACATTTTCTCAACAAGTGTGATGGTAAGTAATGTAACTAAAATTTAATAAAATATTAGATTAGTTAGAATATATTCCTAAATTTTAAAGATTACTCAGTAGTTAAAAAATTATATAAAAAAATAGTTCATGCTATATTTGTTAAATAGTTGCTACAGTTATGTCTTGCCTAGAAAGAATTCTAAAAACATAAGTCAATAAAGAGAGTTGTAAACATTTTATGAAAACATCTACTTCTGTGTTAAAAAATGCTTTTCTGTGATATTTTGAACTAAAAGGAACATTTGTTTCAAATTAGATTAATTAAACTTTAAATCAGCTAATCTTCCTGAAATAAAGATTCAGAAAAGTATATTTTACTTTTGAAAGATTTTTTTTTAATAAAGATAATTATGTTGTGCTGTCAATGTGGATAAGTTTAGTGTTTTTACTACTAATAAAAAATACTCATTTCAATCAATTTAAATTCAGTTTGAAATACAGCACAATATTTTGCTTATTGGAAATATTAAATTTAATCTATTAGCTTAAAATTTAAACTAAAATAAAAGGTTCAAGACTTAATTAAAAAAATGTATTTTAAACTTTAGGTATAACTTTTCTTTGAAGGTATCTAGTATAAGGAATATATTTTTAATTAAACATGTTTAGATGTTATTATTTTTAAAAATCTTGTCAATTTAAAGATATTTGAAAATATGCCTTAATTTGCATGAAATTAAATTAATTTTAAAAATGGAAGCCCATTTAATAGTTTCCCCTGTAACTAATACTCATGGTAATGAAAAGAAAATGCAATAAAATAACTGAAACAATTGCTGACTTTATTTAAAGAAGATAGGGAAAATATATTTTATACTATCACTGTTTCAATGTTAATTATTTCTTTAGGGGAATCATTGTTGTAATCTCTGTAAATAGACATATTTCAGTCTCTGAATAAACATGAGATCAACTGTAAATAGAAATTTTCAGTAAATTGAATAACTTACTTATTGACAAAGTCATCACCATATTTCATTAGGCATCGAATAGCAGTAGGAGCAGTGTAGAATTTAGTGACTTTAAACTTTTCCACAATTTCCCAGTAACGGCCTGCATCTGGATAATATGGAATTCCTTCAAACTGTCAAAATAAAATGGTACTGACTATTAATGACTATTTTTTTAGTATACAAAAAGGAGGTTTCTTTGGATTAGTTTCCTCATAATAATTTTGTTCATTTATTTTCATCAATAATATGAATGTACACATGTATTTTCCAAACAACTTTTGGAATGATAGAAGGTGTGTGAATTTTCATAGATAAACAATTGCAAGAATATATAAAATCATGTTGTTTAGAAATTACCTATAAATATAGCAAGATTCATAAATGAACAAAAACTAACTTAGTAGATCAGTTTACAAAAAACTTAAGAGATATAGAAAAAAAAAGATGTATATGATAGCTTAAAATTCAAATCATTAGAAAGGTTTGCTTACTATTACTCCAGTTGCTCCATTAGCCAATGGACCATAACATACATAACTGTGACCAGTGATCCATCCCACATCAGCAGTACACCAAAAAATATCATCAGGTTGATAATCAAATACATATTTAAAAGTTGTTGCTGTATAGATCATGTACCCACCAACTGTGTGCAGGACTCCCTTTGGTTTGCCTGTGGAGCCACTAGAAGTAAATACAAGTAATACTCAGATTAAAAAACATCCATAATTTAACAATATTTGAGAAATAATAATAATAAAAAAAAAATTAAATTTTTACTATTTCCTTCAATTTCAAGCCTGCAGATTTAATTTCTGAAGATAATTTTCTTGCTTTTAACAATGTTTAAAAGAAATCCATGCAAACTGAATGCAAAGACAATGCTAAAAATGATCTAAAAACTCAAGGAAAAAATTATTTTTGAAGTGATGTGATTAAACCTAGAATTTCAACTTAAAAAAAAAAAAGACAAAATAACAACAAAATCATTATAGAAACAGAAAACCACCTCCACAAATTTTAAGAATTAATCAAATTTTTGTTAAAGTTAATGAAGATCCAGGAATGATAAATTACAAATATACACTAATTATTTTAAAATGTGAAAAGTAAATTTTACTGATGATTGGATTGGTCAGAATGTTTTAGTAGTCATTTTATCATCAAATTCAAAAATTCATTACAGAAGAAGATCAGAGTTATTTAAAAAAAAGTTAATTTAGAAAAAAAAAGATCTATCATAAAATGGTCAAATGTTTTGTCTGATTTTGAGTAAGTGCATGGAAAATGGAATTGGTAAACCAAATTCATTATCTTTTCTTCCTCCTCCCTAAGAGTTAAATAGTAGAGGAGACTAAACTTTCTAGTCTTGGCTGGCAACTAGTATACGAGAACTTTAAATTCAAAATTGTGGAGAAGGAAATAGGAAACCACTGTCTTTCCACAAATTGATGGATTTGTTTTTACAGCTTACCAACCCTTTGTGGGTTATTTAAAGCCAAAACATATTTTTGATTGTAAGAATAATGCATTCTTATGCACATTGATGCATATGTATAATTGCAACACAACATGGGGAAATTTGTCAAATTGATGAAAGATTGAAAGAGGCCCTCAATGGTATGTTTACAAAATGCTAACAATTATCATTATTAATGATTGTTATTGAACTAGTCACATATTAAATCATTAGTGAAATGAATTGAATCCACATTTGTTGCACCAATCTGTAGCTTTGTATCAAACTAAAGTTAGTAAATAACTACACCCAAGAATAGAAAAAGATATTAAAAAGAAATGACACAAAAAAAAATCTACACTGTTATAACACAATGTTAGGAAATGAATCGATTTGTTCAGGCTTGCTAAATGTAATGAATATATATATATATATATATATATATATATATATATATACAAGGACTGCTAAAATCCTGTGATATTGTGTCATAAACCTCAACTAACCTTGTGTAGAGCATAAAAAGAGGGTCTTCAGCATTGCACCATACAGGATCACAAGTCTTGCCTTCTTTGGTGTTCATTTCTCCCATCAGTTCATGCCACCATTTATCACGGCTATTTACCCAGTTAATCTAAGAAATATATATTAAAAAATCCTTTTATCAAAATCATAAATTACTGGTTAAACAACAAATGCAAATCATTAAAAAGGTTTTCTTACTATTACTCTACTTTTAAATGTATCAGCATTTAAGTAAATTATGAAATGCAATGAGCAAAATAAGTAAACTTTTCGCTTGATAATGCAGGTAGCAAGATCAATTGGAAATCTCTGACCTCCATTAGTGTTCTTTAAGGATTGGATTATGAATGACAAAAAAAAATTACCATTTTGTTTACAGAAAGGATTTGCAAGTCAACCCTTGTAATTTGTGTTATTTTGTAAATTAAGAAAAAAATTCTGCATTTTTTATGTGATATTCTCATCAGTTAAAATAGATAAGTGGTCAATAATCTATTTTAGCAGAAGGTTGGATAGTGTAGAGAGTTTGATCCTAACAAGCACATCATTACTGTGACCTTGTACCAGTTATTTCCATTTTTAAATTTTACCTATTTCAAGGTTAGAGGTTCTGTTTTTCTTGTAGCCGTCTTTATGACATTAAGCCTATATTTCTTTGTAAAAGAAGTCATTTACTTTATCCCCAACAATCATAAACTATTGTGATTGAAGATTCAAGAAAAAGAGAGAAAAAGTGATGGAGAGTAGACTGACTTTTAATCGTTTCACAGGACGTTTAGCGGGAGTAGGTTGAGTATCCCCTTCTTCAGGCTCAGACTCTTGTTCATCAGGGCTCAAATGACGAACCATCACACAGTGGTCAACATGATAGCCACTTGAAATGAAAAGCAAAGAAATTGTTTATTATTTTACATAATTCTTACATTAGAGAAAATTCCACAAACCAACATTTTTAATTTGTTTAATTTTTAATTTTATTTTATTATTTATAAATTTTGTTGATGGAAAACAATTGTTACAATTGCGAAACATGCACAAACCTTTTTTCACACAGTTGGATGGCACCATCCACAATGGTTTTCAGATTAATTAGTTTGGTCCCTCTCCACATACCATCTGCAATGAAACAATTGGTTTTCAGAAATTATCTTTAGTAAAGTCCTAATGAAATTAGAAACTCAAGAAAACAACAATTATTGCAATGCTTTTAATTATGAATGATTATGATTAGAACCTGTCAAGGTTGATAATAAGGTAAGATATTTCTTTCTGCTAGTCTGGGTAGGAAAAATGGTTATATAAAGTGGATTTCTTAAATGAGCCTCACTCATTCTTTTCTCCATCAAGAACTTTGACATGCCAGTGATGAGACCTTTTTTGATATTTGGTAATAGAGAACAATGATATGTATATTCATACATTTTCTTAAAAGCATTAAAGACTTGGCCAATTCAACTTTCCATGGTGATAAGCATTATGCCACTAAATAGCTTTAGCATAAGGATAATGAATACAAAAAGAAAAAAAAATTAATAATTTAAATGAAAAAAAAAAAAAAAAAGAAAAAAAAAAAAAAAAAGTGATATTTTTAATAATCAACAGAATTTTTATTTTAAGAAAACAAGAAAATTCTGGTTTATAAAAAAAATTACATTCAAAATATGTAAATGATTTAACATGCAAATAATATAATGCAGAAAATAATTTAATGCAAAAACTGAATGCTTTAAGTGTGTGCATGCATGAGTCATAGAGGTTGTAAGGGATGCTCCAAAAGTAATGCTTCTATTTTATCATATTGGACCATGTCAAAGGCAGATATTGATGATAGGGTAGTAGAGGTTGAACTCATAATTTTCAGACCTTGTTATGGATAGTGATCTGGCAAAATAGCATCTGACATGAAAGTGTCTACACAGCAGATATGCATCAATGAATTCCTTCAAGCAAACAAAACTGCACCCAATGACATTAAGCTGTCAACCCATGAAATAAAAAAGCACCTCAAAAATGCATGGCCAATGTTGGTGATTATATGGAAAAATATGATTTTGTAACAAAAAAAAAAAAAAAAAAAAAAAAAAAAAAAAAATTTGCCTTATACAATGACATTATTACACTACTTGTATCTGTATAAATAAGAGGCATTTCTTTTGGAGAGTCCCTTATGTGTGTGTGTGTTTAAAATAAGATATAGAATCTAATTATAGATAAAGTTTTTTAGAAATTTGACAAATGGAAAACGTTTCATTGAAAATAGATTTGATTATGCATTTCACCATTCCAGGCTTAATCTTTTGGGATCTGATGAAGCCTAGAATGGTGAAATGCGTAATAAAATCTATTTTCAATGAAACATTTTCCATTTGTCAAATTTCTTATATATATATATATATATATATATATATATATATATATATATATATATATAATGTATATGTGTGTGTATGTATGTATGCATGTACAACAAATTCAAATTAATATTTTTTGTAATCATTTGATGACAATGTTGGAATGAAGATATATATCACTAAATTATTTATTAACCTCATGCAAAGATATTAAAGCAATAGGAGAATTGTTGAATAAGGAAGAAAAAAAAATAAAATTAGGAAAATTAAAATAATTCTGAAGCCATTCTTACACAAAACATTAATTAATAAAATATTATAAAGAATTAATGAGAAAGGCTTCATAAAATGCAGTCAAACTGATTAAGATGTACACATTTATTTTCTGAATTTTCAAGATGAGGAATTACCATTATTAAACATTGCTCAATTTGGACCAGAGATCCTCATCTTGGTCGTTACAGACTTTTCAGGTGTCTGGGAATTTCAAACCAAATCAAAGAGGTTAGATTGTTCTCATTCTATTGTCAATGCAAATAGATATTTTATAAAATACAATCATTTTGAGTTTTTCCTTGTTGTGTTACTTTTGCATTTTTTTCACAAGAGTGTATATCTTGCAGGGATTGAATTCTGGTACACAAGGTAAATCAATTTTGACTAATACTTTATCCCATCAGATGATGGAAAACTGAAGCCATAAAGTGTAAGGTACGCTCATAATGGAAACATCACATTTCTAAAATATAAAGTCTCATTTTAAATAATGAAAGAATTCTTTAGAAATTACTTTAAAATAGGTACTTCCACTTGGTTGCATAAAAAACGGCAAGCCCCAAACTCAATAAAAAACAAAGTTTAGTTATCAAAATGTTTGTGTTCTTGTTAAGAGGAAAGACCAAAGTATCTTTTTATTATTTTTGAAATTTTTTACTCCTTTGTAGCATGTTGTAAATTTTGGTTAAAAATCTTTTTTTTTTTTTTTTTTTACATCATCAGTGGACCAAAGATAAAGGTTAGTTTCTTTTTGCGTTTTTTTCTGGTGAAAAAAACACTTATTTGGAAATTCTTGCAAAATTCAAATAATTGTCAGATTTTAATAAAACTTTTAGGACATATTCAGAAATAAATGAAATTATTTTTTTTAAATATTTTCTTTTTTTTTTTTTTTTTTTTTTTTTTTTACATATGTTACCATCCAACTTAATTTCATGAAATTAAATTTTTAAGTGGAGGTAGTTAAAAACAAGTCTCTTAAGAAAGTAAATCAATTTTTTTGTAAAATAGTTTCATCGAAAATCTGCTCTGAATTGTAAAAAAAAAAAAAAAAAAAAAAAAAAATAAAACTATGATATTATTTAATTAGAAATGCTTTTAATTGCTTTTGTAAATAAGTTATATTAAGTAATATTGTCTTAAGAAATAAAATTTTTTCAATGAATAATGAAGTTTTATAAGAATTGTTTTCATTTTTAAAAAATTTTAATTATAATAGTAGTTAAAAATTGTTTAAAATTCTTCATTGCTTTCAAGACGGCAGTTTGGTGATATCATTAAGTGAAAAGTACATTTGTGAATCAAAATTTGAAAAGCTCATATCAGTCGTTTGTACCAAAATATTTTTAAAAAAATTTTTTTAAATAATTTTTAATGAAAAAAAAAAGAAAAAAAAAAGCGTGTCTAATTTCTACCTATGGGAATCTATACATGACATAATCCTTAAAAAGGTTATGTGATTTAAGTGTTGTCTGACACTGCAATTATTTCACTTTTAATTCAGTTCTGTTTCATCATTAATGTTTTTGCAAATCATCCCTTCAAAATATCAAAAAGTTTTACTTTTCTTAATTGCTATTTCACTAAATATTTTTATTTTATGTATTTATTTTAGTTTGGGTCATACTTCAGATAATTAATTTTTTGTTTAAAGTAGTAAACTTAAGAACCTAGAAACAAAATGCAAATTTCATAAAACTTCTTAAAAACCTAATTAAAAGTCAATAAAATATTAAATAATTGCTGAAAATATGTTAATTTGTAAAAATTACTAGGTAGTTAAAAAAAAAAAAAAAAAAAAAAAAAAAAAAAAGTGTTCACTTAGATTTCATAAATATATCATTTCTGGTCATCCATAAGAGCTGTCATGACATTGAAAGATTTTCGATAAGTCAATAATTATTAAAGAAAGAGAAGACCCATCATTAAAAAATGGTTGTATATTGTTTTTTTATGCTATAAGTAATATTTATTTCAAATCAGATTAATTTAACTTTAAATTTTCTAATTTTATTCAAATAACATGTCACAAATCTATAATTTTGAAAGATTTCTAAAACTGATAAATTTGTTTACAAATTTCTTAAAATTAAGAAAATGGACACAAAAAAAAAAAAAAAAAAAAAAAAAAAAATCCAGAAACTCTTTGACATTCCACTCGATATAATTTCTATCTGAAATACACAAGAATATTTTACTTACTGGAAATAATTTAATCATTTCGCTTTCAATTAAAACTAAAAAGAAATCTTAAAGAATGCTTTTTCATTTTTAAAATTTAATTTTAAATTCAGTGGAGGTGCCTATTTTAAAATAGTTTTTTGTCAATTGAGATTGATGATAATTTTTGAGAATGAAGCTTTGAAGTGAAATGCCTTGTTGTGTTAGTGGAGAGGGAAGTGTGAAAAAAAAACAAAAAAAAACTCAAGTATCTAACTTTTTCTTGCATTCGTGTTCAATAAATTCTTATTTTCTAAAAGATGATTTTGATTAGAAAAGCAATCTGTAGTCTTACTGAAATTAAGAAATGAAACTAATAAGAATTCTAAATAAAAAGAATTTCTTTTCTGGTTTAGAAAAATAAAAAAAACATGCACGAAAGACAATTTTAAAATATATAGACACACTAAATTTAGCTGGAATTTTATGTATTTTTAGTAAATATTTCACAAGGCTTAGCTTAGTTGGACACAAGACCATACAAGAGAAGCACTATATGAGAATCATACTTCTTTATGAATTATAGCTTATGAAATTAGCATAATGTATCATTTTACAGCCAGCACTTGAAATGTATTTTCACTTTTTAATAATACAAACAGCATTTTAAAAATGTTTTATTCATTTTAAAGAATATAATTTTAATGACATTAAAAATTTACACTTTACATTGTTTGGACTGTTGCCATCATCTTTATTGCCACATTCACAACATTTTGGCCGTTTTACACTTCAACCTTCTTCATGTGATATCTGTTGGAATTTTGTACTGAAACCTTTATTTAGTGAACATGAGTAGAGTATTCTAATTCCACTTACAAAGCCTTTGGATATCACCTCGATAATTCTTCAAGTTTTTGTTCTCACTGCTGAGGCCAGGTATTGAACTCACAACTCTTTGGGTCAAGTCACTATTTTGGATCAATCAACCACTGGGCCTTTAGGGAGTGAGCTTTTGGGATTTATAAACCTAAATTCACACACTAATGTCCTCCAAAGACACATGGCCCAGTGGATAAAAGCGTTAGTTGATTGATCTAAAAAGTAATTTGATCTAAATAGTTGTGAGTTCAATCCCCAAAACTTGGAAAGGTGAGTTTCAAGGGTAATTAACTAAAAACTGAGATATGCATGGCATGTGGAATTAGAACAATCTACCTCTGTAGACTAAATGAAAGGGTTCAGTTCAAAACATATCATTGAAGAAGGCTGGCATGTATAATAGCCAAAATGTCATGAATGTGACAATAAAGATGAGGACAACAATACAAACAGTGTAAATAGTTACAATACCTCATCTCGGAAATATAGACAGACATAAAAAATTGTTACATGACTAGTGTTGGCATTAGTAATGAATCTTATTTTGACACAAAATACATTGAACATCAAGTGACAGTAAGAATGAGACAGATGAGAGTAGATTATGTTAACTGAACCATTAAACTTTAGAAAACAAATATAAAGTTAGTTATAAGGAGTTTAGCAAATTTAATTTAAGTATTCAAGATTTTAAGCTGACTCATTCCTTGACTGAAATTACAATTAAGAATGTTCATTTTCCCTACCTCCACCCAAAACATTTCACTCTTACAAAGACATTAAGTGAATTATGCAAATAAGAAAAATGCCAATAATAGAGATCTGGGAAGGAATACATGCTACAAATGCACAGAAAATAATAATAGAAATTCATTTCTCAAGGACTTTGATACACGATGCATTATATAGGACTTAAGGGAAACACCAGCAAGAGAGAGCATATTAATAAACAAGAGAGACAAATCTAGATTATTAAGATTTCAGTCAAGAATTCTTTATAAAAGCTTTGTTGTGCCTTTTCTATAAATATTTTCATGGTAATTATTTGAATGAACTTTCTACTATGGTATATAAATTGTAGTCTTTGTAAATATTAATTGTGGTTTCATTTTAAAAAATTATTTTTATTCCCTACAGACAAAATGTACATATGGGAACTAGTTAGGACTTAATAGAGACTTTGAGGTATTATGGTGGCTGTAGTAAGAATTGTAAGTAAGAATGTGTCATTTTGGTGTAAGGAATACATCATTAACATCTTTGCAAATCATCCATTTTGGGTCAGTAATTGTGGCTAACTAAGTTTAAGGTAAGACAGATTGAAAACCAGCCTTCTCCTATCTCCTTTTTGATCTTGTTCCACATTTTTGTATTTTTTCAAAATAAATATCACTTTCCTCTTTTGTACCTAGACTTTATGAATTTTAGTGCAGTATTAGATTGACAACAAGGTCTCATCAATTTACAGTTGAACTGGCTAGATATAATTGTAAGTTCTATGCTAACAGTTTCTTTTCTCACACTTATCACTTGTGAAACTCTCTTCGAGCTCCATGCTTTCCAGCCATCTTCAAAAATTTAAATGCAATGTCAATCATTATCTACTGTCTTCTTTTATTGTTCTTGCTTATTAATAATGTTTCTCTTTTTTCTTATTCTTTCACACTCAGTAACCCCATGTGTCTTAGTGGCTTTAGTGCCTTACTTGAGGTAAAATGATTAAAAAAAAAAAAATCGTTAAAGAATTCTAGTGAAAATACTAAATTTGGCATTATATTTTTCAGTAATATAAACCATCATCCTCAGTGCAATGACAGGGTGTAGTTGTAGAGTTGTTATGCAGCTGAGCACCCTACCAGCATCCCTTCACATGTCTTGGTAGGTCATTCATTCCTGCATAGTTAGCCTTTGGCAGAATTTCTCCCTCTCCAGGATCAAGCCACAGCCAATATCTTCTGACTTGAAGGCTCAATTTGTTCATGGACATATGGCTATTGATTTCATTAGGGTAAACTTCCAACCTGGTCATTGACTTCAATTCCATGTCACACTGCCCTGGATATACTGCCAGTAGTTCAGTCCCATGTGCAGATTTCGCCTGCAGCCAGTTGAAATTCAAATTATGAATAAAATATGTACAAACATAAATAGGTCTTATGAAGTAATTGAGTCAGGAATTAGGAGAACTAAAAAGGGTTTTTCCAAAAACTGCTTCAGTATTAGACTAAAAGATTTTTCAGACAGTTCCATCTGCTTGCAGATGGTCATTTTGTTCCCATTCAGTTCATATGTAATAGTTGAAGAAAACAAAGGAAAAAGACCTGTCATACAAATGAAGTAAATATTAAAAAAATTTAGCAAAGGCATCAAAGAATTTGGATTAAGAAAAAAAAAAAAAAAAAAAAAAATAAAGCATCACAAACACCTGAACAGAAAATTAAAGAGAATTTTCTTTTCAGGAATCCAAAAATGTAACTGCATATTTTTTGAAAGACTACACAGGGTTAATTTGTTAGAATTTGTTGGTATGTTGTTAGCTAGATTATAAAATCATAAAAATAGATGAAATACAATGACAGAAATTAAAATCAAACATTTTCAGATATTAAATATAAAAAAAAAAAAAAAAAAAACTTAAATTAAAAATTGTAATGAAAATCTATAGAAGACAATGTGACTGCTTGCCAGTAAGCAAAAAAGATTGTTAATAACACAGGTATGCATAAGCAAAGAGCACACTGAGATTCACCTGCAGTCAGAATGGCACAGCATTTGGCATCAAGAACTCTACTGGCCAGAGCCTCCGATGAGTAGCCGCCAAACTAGAAAAAAATAGTAGCTGGTATAAGGACACATAGCAACGAGCACAAACAATGGAGGACAGGCAGGAAGGAATTCTGTGGATGAGACAAAGCACTAAAGAAATTAATGCTGACAAGGCAAAGGTGATAAATAGTGTACATGCTGTAGAAAATGATATCATGCAAATCCCGAGGGATATCATACCATGCATTTTATGACAATAAATAAATAAATAAATCAACCAAAAAGGAAATATGAAAAGGAAAAAAGTATAAAATTTCATTGATCCCACTCAGAATGTCAGAAAGAAAAAACACAAGAGGTTTTTGTGTTAGAAGAAAAACTTAATTGTTATGTATCAAGCATGCATTTTTAAGAGTATTTTAAAATGTAAAAATATTGATGAATAATAATTAGAACTCTTTTGTAATAGGTCCCTATTGAATAGGAGGAGTTAAGTACCTTTAGTCTTGTTGCAGCATTCTTATTAGTCTTCAAGGCACAAAAATGGAAATCAAGTAGTGGCATTGTCATTATAATTAAGAGTTTGGATAGGATAGGGGAAATCATTGAAATTCTTATTGCAAAAAGTTTTCAAATTTTAAAAATTAGTGTCAATTTCAAGAGTCATTCACATAATAGACAAATGAATCAGTAACAGAAAAATTAAAAAATAAATTTTAAAAATATATTGGATTAAATTCTTTATAATTATTTATTTCTTTAAAAGAAATAAACAAATTGTTAATAAACTATCATAACAATTTGTTTTAAAACTCAACTCCAAATGGGTCTTATAAGCTGTCAGTTCAGAAGCACCTCTACATATTGAGGTCTCCTCTTAGTATAAGTATTGAGATTTCTAGCTGGCCTTTTGTGTAGCTTACAGCTATTTGTATTCCTCAATGGGCACTCATCAGAGTACTGTTCAACATTGCTTAACTTTGATGCTAGGATGAGAACTGGTGTTTCAATTTTACATGGCCATAAGTGATCATTCAGAAGAAATATTAAATTAAACAAGTTTTATTCATTACTTTACACATCTGCATTAATGTCCTTTATTATGACAAGACACATCTGCATTAATGTCCTTTATTATGACAAGTTCGAGTCAGATAATTTTTTCCTTAAAGTCTAAAAATATAGCACTGTCAATGCAAGAAATAAATCTCAGAAAATGTTTATTATCTAACTTTACAACACATTAATAAATTCCTTATTAAATTCAATTGTTAATGTTTTCACATTTTAAGAAATTCATTTGTCATTTATCATGTTATAGAACTTTTAGTAGGATTATATTGAAATATCTTAGTATTGATTATCTCCCCTTATAGCTTTGCAAATGCCATATCCCTTTAAAACGTAGGTAATCATGACTCTCCACAGATTTCTTTACTTTAATATTTGTGAAAGATAGTGGAATGGTTTCTCATTGCCTTCTCCATGGCTTCGAGTTTTTTTTCTAGAGAGCCTAGTTTACAAAAATGAATTTGAACTCAGCTTTTGGATTCCATTGGCACACCCCCCTCCTATGATAGAGATTGGGACTTGTAACCCCTTATAGTAGCATTGTAAAAAGAGCTATTTATGAACATAGATTTCTATTTTTCTCACATGCTGTAAAATAAATCTAATTGAAATTAAATGGAAAAAAAAAGTTAAATGACTTTTTAAAAAAAAAAAAAAAAAAAAAAAAACTGTAAGTAATTAGAAAGTAAGAGGTTGAAATTTTAAAAAAATAAAGTAAAAAGACAAAACAAAACAGAATTGTGTTTAAACCAGCCATTTTGATAAATAAAAACTTACTTACCAGATAATTAATACCAAATAAACAGATTAAAGTGACTAAGTCCCATTGAAAAGCGGTGCTAATTGACTAGCAAATATAAACACTATACAAAAATGAGAGAGTGAGAGCAGACGACACATTTGTGCTGGGTAGGGAAGGGTAGAGAGAAAGGGAGATTGTGATGGGGCAACTCTGACCTGCAGTAATAATAATTGAAGCCTGGCATCCAGTTAGCCGTTCATAGAGTGCTTTTTCCGAATAACCAGCAAACTGCAAAAGTGGTAATGGAAATCTGAGGAAGGTGCAGAATGATTAGGCAAGCAGATGATCATTGGTGTCCTGTATTGCTTCAATGAACACATACATACATACATACATACATACACACACATATTTGACTAGTTTATCAAGAGCCAATTAAAGTTGTTATTTAATGCTAAGCATATTCTCTCAAAAATTATAAAATTCAGATTCATTTAGAAAATGAACAAATAATAGAAATTCATCAATGAAAAGAAAAATAGTTGCAGAGTAATCAAATTTGGATGTATTCAAGAATAGTAGAGGTATTTAAAAAGGTTTTTGTTAAGCTCAATGGATTAATATAATTGCTATAGTATTTTTTCAGAATTAAAGTAACTACTTCCACAAAATCAATTAGAATTAAGGAATAAGTCATTAAAAGTGACATGCTTCAGGGAAATCATCAATAACAAACCAAATGAAGTTTGTAACAGTTTAATTATCTCAAATGGTTAAAGAATGTTCATAACATAGAATTAAGCATTGCATGATGACCTTCTCAGAACAGCAAACAGAAATGGTGGAAATTTATAGCACAAAATACAATCATATAGTCTGAATAAATAAATTATGGGAAATGTTTCAAAATATTAAAAGATTAAAGAACAATAAATATAATACAATCCTTGAAACTAATACGTATCTTAACTATCATTACTAAAATAATCATTAAAAAAAAGATGAAATGTCAAAATAAGAACAGATTTGATTTGAATTCTTTTTAAAAAAAATAAAGCAAGAAGTCAGCTGTGTATATTTCTGAGATGAGGTATTGTAACTATTTACACTATATTGTTCAGATTGTTGTCTTCATCTTTGTTGCCATATTCACAATGTTTCAGCCGTTGTATGCTCTGGTTTTTGTCAGGTGATTGGAACGTTGTGAATATAACAACTAGCTTAAAAGCTACTCTATCAGGCAGCATTTAAGCTAGCTCCTGTGAAAGATTCTTGATTAGGCTTTCATCACAATAGGTAGGGAGAAGTAGATGCAATAAGCAAACTACAGAAGAACTCAAAATTGATCGCTGCATTTAAGCATTGCATCAATAATTAAGCTTACCTTTTAAAAATTCATTGATAATTCTTCTTCCACTTAATTTAAAGACAATTTGATGTCCTTACTTTCCATACAAACAGTTATTTTCATTTCATGAATAACTTTTGCTGGATTTTGCAATTAATTTTGATTAATACCCAAATTTATTTCCAAGTTACAAAAATTGTTATTGTACAAAAACATTTGCCCCCAAAAAATCATGTAAAAAAAAAAAAAAAAAAAAAAAAAAAAAATTGCAATGAAAACTTGGGAATCCAAAATTTCAGGATTGTGGGAGTCAATCTAATTTCAAGAGATGTTGGGCTAAAGACTAAGAATAAAGTTGAAAACATGGACAATTTTATTTTGAAAACTGTAATGTGAGAACAGTAATTCTTGTATTTGAACATGAGCTATTGAAAGTTAGAGAGTTGTGTCCCTTTAATTGTTTTTATCAATAGAAACTAAGATGGCAGAATCTGAAAACAATAGCAGTAATTAAAGATTGGGAATCCCAAATTTCAGGATTGCAGATCTGAATCCCGCTAGGAATGTTTTTAATTTGCTCTCAGAGTCGACCTGATTCCAAAATGGTATGATATGTTGGGCTACAGCCTCTCAGAGTCAAGTTGAAAAAGTATGAGATACTGACATTCACAATTATTACATAGAAGATGAGGACAACATTCCGAAAAATGTAGTTTAAATAAGAAAATAGGTTTTATTAATAATCTATCTGGACAACATTTCTGTTTTTAAGAAATAAAAACAATTTATCATTATGGTTTTAATAAAAGAAGAAAAATATAGACAGCAATGACTCCTCATAAAAAGAAACAATTCCTTAATGGATAAATACTATTATCAATCACAGTTCATTCTAAATGCAAGATTAGTTTATAATTTCTTCATTTTTAACTAAGCATAACTTGATATAATTACCCCAAGAACAATCGGAAATTTTTTTAATAGTCTTAAGTTTCTTACGCTTACCAATAATCTACCAATGGGAGATATTCCCGTCTAACCTTGTAAACACAAATTAGTTGCACCTGTAGTGTAGAGTAATAAAAAATCTTTACATTGTTTGATTGATATTTTACAACTTATTAACCTTTTGTGGGTTTTTTAAAAGCTAAAACATATTTCAGATTGTCAGAAGCCACTTACAGTACCTGGTGTTCTGAGCAGTACCCCCATCTAAATACTGACCAAGCTCAACATTGCTTAACTTTAGTGATCAAACAAGAACTGACTCAATATCATGAATTTTATATGACTTGCAATATATATATATATATATATATATATATATATATTCACTTATCTTGTTTTAGGAACTTATTCTGCTAAATATAATGCACACTTTTTTTTTCTTATTCTGTTGGTTTTAACATTTTTACTTTTCTTCAGGCTATGAACTGTAAATTTATAAATTTAGTGCACATACAAACTTTTCACTCTGCCTTATCCACTGCAAAGGCCTATATTAATTTACAGTTCAGAAGAAAAATCTTTCTTAGAAAATCAAATGAAATGAATTTTACAAAAAAAAAACAAAAAACAGTGATACTGTTTCATTGAAGCAATACAAAGAGAAAATGCCACAGGAAATGCAGAAGATGATTATTTATGCAATCTATTCCCAATTTAATATTTCTGGATAGTTAAATTCAATATTCATCTTAAATTCAACTAAGAGAACATTTTTTCAAAATAGACAATAGGTTTAAAATATGATATTATTGTTAAATAGAATTAGTATATATTGCTTCAACAATAACTTGCAATACCTAGTCAGTATTACCTGTATGCTATTCAAGAACAAAATGTTTCTTTCACTTGGCTACTTAGATTTTGCCATTTTTTTTTCAGTTCTTCTA